CCACTCTATGACTGCTATTTCCTACCCTTTTAATTCAATACCGAGCACTTGAATGATGTTTTCTTTTCTCCTTCTACTCTTCGACTTCAGGATTAAGTTACAGTCAGAATGGATCCTTGGAGACGTCACTTTATTTCCCTCTTCTCATCCTGATCAATTCGTGACTAGTTTTCAATTGGTGTGCCCTTTTCACTGCCTGTTGCTAATATTTCATATATATCTCGTTTTAAAGACTACCAATAGGGGCTTACTTAAAATGACAGCAAATTCCAGTTGAAATGTGTGGATTTTATTGAGTTGTACAGAATCATATGTATGAAAGGTCATTCCATTCATGTAAATCATCCATGCCTGATGGTCGCTGGTGCTTCACTTACCGAGTATGCAACCCAAGCCTATTAGTAATCCAATCTTCCCAGCCATATGGGAAATGCAAGGTCTGAAAACTACAGAAAATGATGGATTTGGGTATTGTCTTTCCTGAAGTTAATCTGCCGCCCAATTAGCCAGTTTGTGCTCTGATACCCACAGTTTATGGACGTAGAAACCAAGGCACCTGGAAGCCAAAACCTGTGCCTGGTCATGGTTAGTTAGTTAGTCATGGTTAGCTAGCTGGCGGACCCAGACTGTCTAGCTTCAGAGTCGTCTTCTAACAGCTGTGCTTTTCTGCCTCGGTGGGTGACTCCCAGTAATATTCGAAATGGACAGATTCAAACATGGATTCCCCCTTGGATATTATATATTACTGGAAAATGTCCTGGGCTCCAAGCTAGCTTGTCACCATTTTCGCTCCAGAGCTAAGAAGCCCGGCCCGTGCTCCAGGCTGCCTTCCTCAGGCCCTTGTAAAGTGTCAGTGCTGTCCCCTCTTATCTCTGCGATCTTACACAGCACCCTGCAGGGCCCTGTGGTCTGCTTCCTCTCCACAAAACAAACACCATAGCAGAAACACGAGGCAGCAGGCGAGCGCGCTGACTGTGCTGACAGCAGTGGAGCACGCAGGAGAGGCCCGTTAGTGGCGAAAGCCCAGTAAGCGTTAGCGAGGGTGCTACTTGTGAAACCTAGTAGCCAGCTCCCTTATCAATCAATGTCATTATCCTAAAATATAGTAAATGCACGCAGTCCAATAAAGAGAGATGAAGAGAACCATCACAAGAACCCTTGAGTTCTTTTAATTTTTTCACTTTGTACTTTTTGTATTGATTGCATGCTTGAACTAAATCTTTTAAACACGCTTCTTTCACTTTAAGAGTCGCTGCAATGGGGCCAGCCAAATAGCTCAGCAGATTAAAGCACCTACTTGGGCAGACACAGCTGCCAGGGTTTGATCCCTGGTGAGCCGTGCTGGCCCCGCCTCTGGGGCACACTGAGCCGGTGTCTGAGACTGGGCATGGTGGCGCTGTAATTACATGCCTGTAATCCCAACACTTGGGAGGCTGAACACAGGCAGATTGCTATGAGTCAGTCTACATAGTGAGACCCTGTACACCCTGTACTAAATTAAAAAAAATTTAAAAAAGAGTAGCTGCAATTGCAATGTATGCAACTAAGATTTGTCCATTAAAAATAATAATTTTACAGAGAGTAGCTGCAGTGACTTGTACCATTTTTGTGTCTCAGTGAGGATGTTTCATCTCCAGATGAATTTCAGTTTCTTTAGCTCTAGAGCTTTGGTTATCTTGAGAGCATTAGGCCCGGTGGGAAAGTCACACTCTTGACCCTACCCCAGCCTAAGCACTCAGTCACTGGTGAAGATCTGGTAACATGAGCTTCAGATTTCCTGTGTATGAACCAGGAGTAGCTATTCC